ATTTATTCTATAGCCTGATGGTCTTGTTTCTTTATTTCAGTTACTATCATTTCAGAAATTTCAGGTGTGTAATTTCCAAGTTCTTGTATATCTTTGTCACCTGGCTTTGTTCTGGGTGGCCTAGAAGATTGGGGTTGCCTTTTGCTCCTGCGTTTTGGCAGTTTTGAAGCTCACAGTAACCACCTTGACAGAGTCCCACAGGCTGCCTAGTCTGCCAAAGTTCTTAAATGGCTCCAAGAAAGCTCCTTGCTTGCTCATGCTGGGCCCACAGATTGCAGCTGTCCAGCATTCTGCAGGCCACTCACAGTCCACCTGAGTTCTTAAAAATTTGGGCTGGCACCAGCAGAAGCTGCACACCTGCATACTGGGGGATAAGGAAGGTCAGAGCTTACCAAAGTTCCACAGGCTGCCTAGAATCTGCCAGAGTTTTTAAATGGCCTATAATCTGTTTTCATTGTTATTTAACACCCCATTATAGAACCACAGCAAAATATAGTTACCCATTCTACTATTGGCATCATATATGTGAATTAGAGTTATTCTAAAAAATTATGATGCTATATGTAATTATGTATGGGAAATATTTTAGGTATATAGCTATTGCTTTTATGGAGATGTCCATAGAGATCGTTATAGTTCCATATAATAAGTGTCCTGGGACCAGTCCTCATGCTATTTCCTTCTTATTGCAGTTTTTAGAACTGCAATAATATAATGTTTCTGAAAGTAATGACAGTGAGTATCCTTGTTTTTTTCTTAAAATTTTATTTTTCACTTCTGAGTGTGATACATGATATATATCACTGTATATATGTTTATGTATATATATTTGTGTATATATAATTGTGTATATATATAATTCATTTAAAATTTATTTATTTATTTTTTCCATAATTTTATTTTATTTTATTTTTTTTCATAATTTTATTGATAAACAAATAGCAATGAGACATTTTCAAATCAAATTGGTAGGACAGCTTGAATAATTAACACATTACGTACATTCTTCCTAGTGGTTAATTGCTGTACAAGGTGCGGACATGATATCCTATCTACAAACACCATTAGGACAAATCACTCTATTCCTTAAGAGAATGTAACTATATATCTATCCTAACCACTTTGAATACACAGATACAAAATGGACATTCATCTGTATACCCTTTTTTTGTTAAGTTCCATTATTTGAATATTATAGGTGTGTTAACTCAGCAGAATAATCCAAAAGAGTTCAGCAGTCCATAACAGTATTGGGTCTTCTGCTTCACTGGCAATGTCAGAAATTGTTGACCTGAGTCCCCTACAGCTCAGCATAACAGCATGGCTTTACTTCTTATATTTTGTTTTTATACTTTTCTTCTGAGTGGTTAAGACCAAGGAAAGCAGGACCTATGCAACAAGAGTTGTAGCTTTTGGGTCTGATAAGGTTAGTGAAATCCCCTCAGGATTTATCCTCAGATCCTGTACCTCAGAATGTTTGTCAATGTCAGCCATGTGGACGAGTCACAGCCATTGCTTGGCCAATGTGCTCTCTGTGAAAGCTGAGACAATGTTTTCTCTCCATGTGACTCTCCTTAGGCACACTCTACATCATCGATCACTTTCCTCTTTGGCCCCATAATCTCCTTGATCAGAAAATTTGGGACACTGCCGAGTTACATGATGTTACAATACAAGTTCTCATATGTCCTGGGTCTTAATTGGCCTTGGAAGGCTAGGGCCAAAATGATGGCTTTCCATGCAGCCCTCCTTTTCCTCTAATTTTGGTCTGCAAACTTAGGTTGTTAACCATCCAGAAGACAAGCTTATTGTCATTACCATACAACTTAGGCTGTTAAGCTTAACCTCACTATCTGTCTGCATATCAAGCATCTTAGGCATAAGATGGAACAGGTATTTTTCATCAAGTATTGATATGTTGAACTTTAAGTCCCTACGGAATATGATAAAAAACATTTAAAATTTAAAATATATTTTAAAAATAGGCATAAAGAATTAGATACTTCTTATGTTCATACATAAGTCCAAAAATCTCACCATATACAATGAAGCAGGACAGTCCCACAGTATTCCTTTTTCTGTCTTTTGCTTTCATTCACCACCCCCTTTTTTTTGAACAACCATCTACCCGAGAGACTTCATAGCAGCAACTGGCATGTCATGACAAGCAGCCCGTATTCAGAGGACCAGAATGACAGGCACTCCAAGCATGAAACTACTATTGCAGACTATTTTTTTTTTGTTCTAAAACATTAGAAAAAAATTTGAGTTTGGTTTTAATAATGACTTGGTCCCTGTTGATGACATGATGTTATGTCACGCTTTAGTCTTTTAATGAAATACATTCCATTCATAGGTTACTACTGTTAAACCAATCATGTATTTCTATAATGTACCCCATGTAGTCTTTTTCTGTATGAGCAATTTTTTTTAATGTATTTAGTACAGAGTCTATAGGGTCTACAGGACTCACCACATAGATTGGACTCATAGTTATTTTCCTGTTCTCAGCCTTCCACTTGCTGGGATTACAGGTGTGTGCCACCATGCTCAGTCTCAATTGTCCTCTCAGCACTCCCCAGGGTTGCGGCTGGCACAGCATGCCAGGGATCGAACCTCAGCCACTGCATTCTGCCTAAGCAGGCACTTTAGCCCGCTGAGCTATCTCACTGGCCCTGTGTGAGCAATTTTGTGTATTGCTAATCCATGTAATTTTAAAATTATTTATATTGTTTTAGATTAGTCTTTTGTATTAGATATTATCATTTATTCAGTAGTTCTTCCAGAGCTTTCTTCTAAAATTATCTTCTGGCTTTCTGAAATACATCCTTTAGCCGTTTTATTTTCCCTAGGTGATAGCATAGTGTTTTTAAATTTTCCAGTTTGGCTTGTCCAAAACTGTCTTAATTTTGTCCTCCGTCTTGAACCAATTTAGGCATACAAATTTGAATTATCTATTTTATTAGCTATTTTCCATAAATACCTAAAAGTTGCTGTTCCATTGTCATCAGATTTCTAATTTGTTCTTCAGATATCAGAGATTATCAATTTGTTTTTGTTTTATTTCTGATGGCTGCTAAGAACTTCTTTGTGTCTTTAGTGTTCTTCAGTTTCTCTGTTTTGAGTGGAATTTATATTATTGCTAATGGTAAGAATTTGTGTCATTCCTCAGTTCTCAAAAATTCTGAAATATTTGTTTGTTTGTCTTTTTATAACAGGGTTTTCACTATGCAGTGCAGGCTAGCCTTGAATTCACTCTGTAGCTCAGCCTGGCCTTGAACTTTCAGGGATTCCCCTTGCCTCAGCCTCTCAGCTGCTGGGATTATAGGTGTGCAACACCACATCCAGCAATTCTAAAATATTATGTTTAATTCTTATTGTCTCTAGTGCTCACTTTTGGACAGTGCATTGGATTCATATTCAACTTTTCATTCTACTTAGCTTGTTTTTTATTTTCTCATATTTATGTATTTATGTTTTATCTATTGACATTAGCATCCAGTTCTTTAATTGTCTTCAGATGTATCTAATCTGCTGTTTGGTTTATCCATTGAATACTTTGTTAAATTTTTCTTATCAAGAAATTTTATAATTACTTTAAAAATATTCTTTTATTCATATTTGGAATTTTCCTTTTCAAGCTATATTTTATGTACTCACTTTATACCATTTAATTATGACATCTGATTTATGGATCTGCTGTTGGTTGTTGTCTCAATTTGCTCTGTGTATACAATCTTGTTTTTTCTTGTATTTGTGGACTTTCCCTATGAGCTCAGCTTAACTGCAGTGTTTAGAATCATGAATGTGATTTTTTTCTTTGTCAAAAGTTAAGACTGACTTAAGCAATTTCTCTTAAAGACTTTCTTTCTAGGACACATTCATCCTAAAATTGGATGTTTTAAGAATCTTTGACGTTTCCTTTCGGCTGGTTTTCCTGTCTTGCACATGTATGCCATCAGTTGTGAAGTTCTAATCTAGGCTATGAAATCTGCAGATGCCATAGAGCAGCTACCTGCTTTCGCGATTCCTCTGTCTGTGGTTTTATTTATTCATGTTGTTTCCCTAAGTAATGATCTTCTTTGTAAGTTTATTTGTGCTTACTGTTAAAATTAATATTTTTGATATTTACACTTGGATCACTATTTTTATTATGGTATAGTTGACATACAGTAAAAACCATATCCTTTCATCAACAGCTTCATAGACTTTTTTCATTCATATGCACATGTACCTACCACTTGCTTAGATCAGGACACAGAATTTGCCAACCCCTTCTATGTCCCTTCATGTTTTTCACGATTCTTTCTTAGAAGATTTTAAAGAATCTATTCTGCCACATTCTTAGACATCAATGACTTGAGTTTTCTTTTCTTTTTAAAAATAATTTTATTGAGAAACAAACAGCAGTGAGACAGTTTCAAAACCGATTAGTAGGACAGTTTCAATAATTAATACATTGCATATTGTTTTCTTCTTAGTGGTTACTCATAGTACAAGATGCAGACATGATATCCTGTCCAAGCACTATTAGTATAAATCTTTCTTCTCATTGAATTAAGAGAAAGTAGCTGAATATCTCTCCTAACTATTTTGAATATACAGATACAAGATGGTCCTTCATTTGTATCCCCCTTTTTTGTTTAGTTTTGTCAGAGAAGGGTATTTTATTGTCATTTAAATATTGTAGATACATGAATTTAGCAAAATATTCTGATACAGTCCAGTAGTCCATAATAGTAGTGGGTTTTCCATAGAACTGGCAATGAATGACCTGAGTTTTCAATTAAGATAGTCTCTATGAGGTTAATATTTTGGTGTTTTGAGAGAATTTTTGAACTTTGATCTCAATCTCTTCACATTTTTTAAATTGTCGTTGTTTTTTTTTTTTTTTGGTTAAATTTGGGATTTATTACTGGCTTTGTGATCTTGCTTCTTTTATATTCAGTTTGCACAAGTAGCTAATTTTTTTTTTCTTTTCATTTTTCTCTCTCTTAAAGGCACTCCGCGTCATGGGGAGGATCATGCGTGAGTGTTGGTATGCCAATGGGGCGGCACGCCTGACTGCCCTTCGGATTAAGAAGACTATTTTTCAACTTTGTGGCAAAGAAGATTGCAAAGCTTGATGAGCATCCTGCCACAAAGAAATATCCCACAGCTTTCTTGTTTTTCCTCTTTATGTAAATGTGTTTGCCATTTTCTTTCTCTTTTGTTCTTTTGGTTCTACCTCAATGACAGTGCAGTACAGTATTTCAGGGCCCAAGGGCAGTATGAAAAGATGCCTGGGCAGAAGCCAACTGGACCCCTCCTTCCTGTCTTTATATTTATTTTGAAAAACCACACAAACTCATTGTTTTATTTAATGAGAAAAATATTATAAAAGTAAAATAAGCTATACAAAAATAAGTTATTAAGATTTTGTTACTTGAACCAATAGCACATGAATGAATAGAAAACAATGTAAAATATATTTTCCTGAGAAGAAAAAATTATTAAAAATGTGAACTAGAGCATATTATAGATACATATCTCTTTAGATCATATAATTTATGGTTTTCCCTGTTAAAATTAGTAATATTATTTAAAATATAAATCATGCTGTGAATTTTAATATATAAAACATTTAGTAATGGAGCTTCTCTGTGCAATATGGAAGTGGGTTCAGAGTCCCACTTGCTTGGTCTCTCTTCTCCATTCCCCTATGCCTCATTCTCCACAACCACAACAGTCCATAAAGCAAATAGCTTGAAAGCCACTAAACTTATTACTTTTTCTTATGTAAGAAGAGACACCTGACATCTTGAAATACTAAGAAAAGTACTGAAGTCATTTAGCTAATGGCACAGTTGGCAATGGCCCAGATCTTGTGACAATCAACACTGAAGCGTTAGCCAGCCTCCTGCTTTGTTTTGATTCCCATAGTACTTTTCTCCTTATGCAGAAACATCTTTCACTATATTTATTGTTTAGTCATATAGAAAAATACATTGAATTATTTTAGAGAATTATGATCGACCTGCATGAAATTTTAGAGAAGCACATCTATTAGATATGATGCTTTCCTCATAGAAATGTTATAGTTACTCTGCTTGTTAATTTAGACTGTGTTTTCTTGTACACTTCCAAAGACTAACCAAACACAAATATCCACTGTCTGAATGTGTCTTAAAATGCAATTCACAAGTCACAATACTTTGGCGCATACAAAGTTAGAAGGAGAGGATAGAAAGGGGAGAGGAAGCAAAGAAATATATTGAGAGAAATTTTAGGAACAACCAGATGCTAAAGTATCAGACACAGTGAACAGCTATTTTCCTAACCTTTCAGAATGAACAGATGGATGCAGAGCAATGCTCATGGTAGTTTTCCTTCATTGTACTTTTTGTGGCAATAGAGTGATGAATATTTAATGAGATGCTAAATATTTCCATCAAGTATATGATACTGCTTTGACAATGGAGTTTTCATGTGTTATCTTTTATTTTCCTAAAACGTTGCTTTCCAAACTTTGTTCCTTAGAAAATTCTTCTGCTGAGGTGTCCCCAAAACAAAAATATTCTTCAATAGCTTCTTAGGGAATGATACTGAACACTAGCATATCGTGTACTTTGAGAAGTCTAGTGGTAAAAAAAATGTTACTTGATTTTTTTAAAAGACTGGATTTATCAAATTATTTGGCCACAATAGATCCTTTTTTTAAGGGAAGAGGCAAGATTTTGCTATCTCACATGTAAGTGTTCTGTAAATTGCAAATTGGGTGATAGTGTTATGCATTTTCATCTGAAGTACAATTCAGTGATTGTACTTCATTTCACTATGGAAATATGTTACTGAGCCCTTCTTCATTTGATTCAGTTGAGATAGAAAGACAAAGAGCTGACAGCTGTGGGGATGCTTTCATTCTTATTCTTTCATTCCTCCACTTATTAAATAATCATGGAGTACCCCATATCTTGCTTGCCACAATATTGGGCACAAGGGGGAGTAAAAAGATAGATAGGTCCTGCGCTCAGGGATTTGAAAATCTCATTAGGGAATGAGAAAAGCGATGTGAGTATGTGGGAAGAAAGTAAATTGATAGATACAGTACAAAATAGGATGTCTCCTGCTTTGTATGATAGTGGGTTTAAAGAATAGGTGTGAAAATCACTTTCCATTTGCAACACGTTTAGAAAGTATTATTTGGCTATTAGAGTATCTGCATTTGGATGTTTGAGTCTAAACAGATCACCAGTTGTAAGGATTTTAATAAGAGCTATGTGAAGAAGTACTCTCATTTGTACTTAGTACTTTATTTCTCATAGACTGTTTTGCATATAAGAATGAAATTATTTATTTACTATGGTCTTACTCAAGTCTCAAAGAATAATGTTTATTGTTTTATTCATGTATGTTGGGCAAATATACTTACTGAAGTTTTAAGAGAGAATGTTTTAATGTCTCTATTTCTCATGATGTTTTATAATTGAGAGTATAAAATATAATTCCACATTTTACTGATTTACCTTTTGCTCTTTACAAATCTGTACACTGGTACATTTTGACATACAGTATTTTGTTTGTTTTATTGTGGGTTAGCAATGACTCCTAACTGAACCATCTTATGTTTCAATCATGAAATACATTTTCTAATGAAAGGGACACACCAACAGATGTGATAAGGAAATATTAAAAGTTACAACATTTCCTTAACTCTCAACATGATTATACAAAGAAATGTTCACCCATAAAAATAAGATAAAATTTAGGATGTCTGGAAATCTTTCTGTATATACTTATGCTGTTAAATTTTATATGATTTGTTCTTAATGATGTCCCATTGTGTAATATTTATTATTTTTCACTTTTGTTATTAGCCAAGAAATTCTTCATAGGTTAGGTTCAGAGTATCAGTGTTTTCACTCCTTTCAGTTATTTTGGCTTCTGGATAGGACACAAAGCTTGGGAAAATGTGATTATGAATTTTCAGTACTGTATAAAGAGGCAATGGGATTATGTGCAGCATCCACCTCTGAAAGTAAGGGAAACATTATTTGTTGTCAATATTTAAGCATGGACTTATTGCCTTCTAAGTTACATGTTTAAGTTTGTAATTGGTACAGATTCTGTTGTATGCATTCTTGTATGCCTAAAATATTTGGCATGTCACATCTAGAATTCTTAATTATGTTCTGACTTGGGAGTTAAGTGAAACATGACTGTCGTGCACTATTTTAGGCATAGCACTTGCTTTTCATCTTTATACTTTCAATTAACTTTGCATTTTAAATTTCCATGATTGTATGAAAATAGTAACTTGGGTGCAGTGTCTGAAGAATTCAAAATCAGCTTTTATTTTAAATAAAAATCTACAATAGATTCCTTAGGTTAGAAGTTCTACACTAATTTATTGTTTTATAACTTCTACTGTTGTAGAATTACTAACTGAAAGAAAACAATACTACTTTCTTGGAATTTTGCCACCATGTGACTTATTGGGGCAGGAGGAACTCAGGGATATCTTGGAAACTACCCCTAAGTACCAGGCAAACTACTCAGCCAATCTCTTGAAATCGGGGAGCTGGTTCTCCCTTGCCACCATGCAGTATTCAACTTAAAATCATCATTGGAGAATAGTTTTTCATTGATAATTTGGTTAAACAAATTTATTTAAATTGCTAAAATTTTATTTCCCATTAAGAAATCAAATAAAAGTAGCAAATGAATAGAAGTTGGCAGTTGATGTCTTCAATAATTTTTCCTTTATGTAAGTTTATAGTATAAGCTATTTAGGAATTTTGGTATTAGTATCTTAAAATGGGGTCATATGTTTTTTGAAGATACCTTTAATCTATATTTTGTGTGAAATTTAACCCTTCTCTGTTTGACAATACTTTGTTTTATCCATATACTGATACCTACTTGGACTTTATTCACTATTTTAATGAAGACAGCAACCCTCTGAATATGTTTTAGGGCTTCTAAACAGAAAATACCAACAGAAATATAAAGCTTTCACTAAAATTTTACTATTAAGAATTTCTATAATATAAGCAGTTCCCTAAAGCATTTTAATGCAGATATTCAGATATTTGACTTTCTTTTTTCTCCTTTAGTTTTCTTTTTTAGTTTCTTTTCCCCCTTTTTATTTCATTATTTTTCTCACTTCCTTTAAAAAGATTTCATAAACCTTCAAAAGTCTCATTAGTTCCTAATTTTAGTACATAAGTTATTTACTTAATAGGCTTTTCCTCAGAAGGGTTCCGCAAGTGATCTGAATTGCTTAACACATGTCACAGCCAAATAGGAAAACCAGAATTTATAGGAATTAGAAGGAATCTAAGAGATGTTGTAACTTGATTCCATTACCATACAAAGGAAGAAACCAGAGGCCAGAGATTAAATGACTACTAGTTATTTCAGAAGCCCTGTGGTGATGCCCACAATCATACCCTAGTCAACTTCTACTAATTAAAAAAGTAGTTAGCATGCATATGAACTTACGTTGGTTATACACTCATATAAATGCTCCACCTAATGATAATGATGAAATTCTATTTTTCTCTATGTTTTTACTTAAATAATTTGTTCAGGATAAAATAATTTTCTCAGTGAGAAAAATACAGCAAAGAGTTTAAAAATGCTCAATGCTAGGTAGGCTGCCATCAGAATGTTAATGCGTACAGTTGAAGGGTGATGAGAAGGCAGACTTAGGACAAGTAATGACTCGAAAAGCTTCAGGATTTTGCCAACTTCCCTTTCTGTAAGGATTGTATTCTTGTGCTCTGATAGACTGAAAGGTGATTTGGTAGATGAATTTGGGACTATGTCTATTGACATATCTGACTTTTTCTCTTCTCAGTTTTATCTTCAGTATTCATTTTTTTCAGCACATGAGACAACATTTTCTGGATTTCATCAAATCTAACTTCATGATTCCTATCTCTTTAGTTGTACTCTAACCCTGTGCAGATTGTTACACGCTGTAGTTCCTAATGATATTTTAATTTTCCCACTCATGTATGAGAGGTTTCGCCTCATAGCTTCACCAGTAATTATTCTCTTGGCACTATAAAAAGGGTTATGTTAATGGCAGAAATGACTTTCTTTTAAACTTTCAGAAGGTTGTCTGGTTACATTCTAGCTTTCTGCTAACATATAAAGACTGGATAGTTTTTGTTTAATGCTGAATTCTGGTTGAGACAGTGACATGGAAAGAGAATGCAAAATATAGGTCCCATAACATGATTGCTAAAATCACTTCTGCTATATTTAATACTATTACTTTGTTTTCCTTCTGC